TCATTTCTGGAATTGTTGGTGTGATTATCTCCAATAACAATTCAATCTATGTTTATTTTGCTTCTTCAAATCTACTGTCTTCAGAAGCACAATATAAGAATGTTTATGAAAATCATTTGCAAAAGTAAAAAGACTTCAGATTAGGACTGAAGTATCTCCCTGGTTCATAAATTCATAAAATTTATAAATGTTTAAATGGATTTTGTTACATTCCTTCTTACCTGGCACTCAATGTCCCATTTAAGGCCAGTTGCTAGGCAAGAATTTCAGTAAAACTTGCTGTGAACATGATCATGGGGAAGATAAGTTCCTGGGTATAAAGCTGGTTCTGTGCTCTAGACTACAATTACTGACCCTCAAGACCGATCACATTTCCTTTGTTACACATGCTTATAGACACTTCTTTGCTTCAGAAAACATAAATGTTTGTAATAACACATTTATTTGTGATTATTTGACTGATGTTTGTATCCCACAATAGACTGTAAACTCCAGACTGGTTTTGTTTACCATGATATTCTCACACCTAATCTAGTAAGGTGCTCAATAATTTTGCAATGAATGACTGAAGGAACACATGGCAAGTCCAGAGCCTAAGAATTCTGGTTCCACTGGTATTGTCTTGTGTGAACTTGGACAGACATTGAAACTTCTCTGACTCTCAGTTACTATAATTGGAAGAGGGTCTACAACAAGATGGTCACTAAGTGTTCATCTACTTTTAGATTTCTATTTTACTTAAATATGAGAAAAGGAATACAAGATGTGAAGAATAGAACATGGTCCAGTGGGGAGCTAGAGGCGAATAAGTGCCAGGGGGGTGGTTGGCTGAGTATCCCTAGGACATGGCAGGAATGATTCCCGCTTCTGAGAAATGTGATTTCTCACTTCCATCTAGTGCTTGGAAAAACTGTAAAGGGAAAGAAGTTTCTCATTGAAACCCTCCTTTCCCTTTCTACATGCTTTTCTTAAATCCCCGCACCCACCACCATCATCATCACCATGCCACCACTTCCAGCAAATCAGTGTCATCATACTTCCCATTCTGTCTTGCCTCCAAATGTTAGAATGAATTCATTCACATGTAAGCACGGTTTTAGGAGTTTCCTATGACTGTACTCTCCTGCAACTAGGGTTTGCATTTTCCAACTCAGCCTGATTTGGAGAATGTTTAATTCATATAAATGAATTTTTAAATACTAAACTTCAGGCAACAGGGTGGGAAGGACTTTTTTAAGTGTCCAAAGAGAGACTTTCATAAGGCTCCTCCTCAAATCCTACCCAGAGGTGCTCCTGGTCTGCCAACCCCACCTCAGTGCCTGGTTCCTAAGAGCACCATGACATTCCAAGTACACAAGCCCAGTTCCTACACCCCACTTTGTAATCAAAATCATCATTTGGGTACCATACCTCACAAGGTAAGTGATGAACTTGCTCCAGGAACAAAATTTAAGAGGCACCAAAAAGGTCAGCATCAAGATAATATTTTAATGCAAAATTGAAGCAAAAATCCATGATGAACAAGGTGTCACGTTTTTAATAAAGCAGCATCAGTATTATTGATTTTTTTCCTTTTCCCTCAGGTTTCAATATGGTTCAGCTTGGCACTTCCTCTTAACTCTCACTTCCTTCTGTTCTGATGAAACATACTGAGAGTGTACATAATGGAACATACAAAGGGCACATAATGGAATGTGCAAGGAGGCACATTTGTGCTGGCAACATCACTCTGTGTTGGGGAAGCTCTGTAGGGAGAACACCCAGGGCCCAGGCCAAGGCTGCAGATGTCCAAGAACTGGCAGGGAGCCATGAGACACTCTCACTTGACACCATCCCTCAGGATGAGTCCTGGAGGGATGGTTCCCAAAGGCCCAGAAAGAGGTTCCCAATCGGGCACAGCACCACTGCTGTTACTGTTCTGCACATAGAAACGGCAGAGCCCTGTGCTGGGTAGTCACCCATTGTACCCTGTCTACTGGAGATGGAATCCTTCATTTCTTGTTCCCCCTCAAACATCCCTGTCATGATAAAAAGCCACAGACAAACATTATTGATCGTTTTCTATTACTCAAAGAGCAAATGCAGGGAGGAGGAATGCTGGGAGAAATTTCTTTTTGCTAAGCACTGAGAAAACATGATAAATCATTACAGGGAAGGCTCTGTGCTCTGAAAGACTTTCAGTTATTCTCAAGAATCTCCTCCTATTAACCCCCAGGAGCAGGGACGGAGACATCTCATCAGTGTTGTCAGTCAGATGGGTTTGTAGCAGGGGTAACCGTGACCTCTCCTTTGCTAATGTAGTCAGAGGAAGAATGCCAAAGAGGAATGCTCCTTAATTTAAGTGAATTAGAGGATATATTTGGAAGAAAAATCAATTCTTTTTGAGAATAAATAATGAAAGAGGGCCACTCCTGAACTGAGTACCTGTACTACATAACAGCTGTGGCCAGAGCAGGCCCAGTAAACCTGATGTTGGAGAAGGCAGGGCTGACCTCAGGAATCTCATAGGTGATATTCGATATTCCCAGCTCCTGGTGCCTCAGCATCATTGTACCCACTTACAGTCCCAATATCCATCCTTTGTCATCTCCACTGGCCTTTTAATAAGAAATTAGAGGCCGGGCGCGGTGGCTCACGCCTGTAATCCTAGCTCTCTGGGAGGCCGAGGCGGGCGGATTGTTTGAGCTCAGGAGTTCGAAACCAGCCTGAGCAAGAGCGAGACCCCGTCTCTACTAAAATTAGAAAGAAATTAATTGGACAACTAAAAATATATAGAAAAAATTAGCCGGGCATGGTGGCGCATGCCTGTAGTCCCAGCTACTCGGGAGGCTGAGGCAGAAGGATAGCTTGAGCCCAGGAGTTTGAGGTTGCTGTGAGCTAGGATGATGCCACGGCACTCTAGCCCGGGCAACACAGTGAGACTCTGTCTCAAAAAAAATAATAAGAAATTAGAGACTAAGTCTAGAAATGATCTCTCACAATTATTTTTCCATTTTACTAGAAGACTCTTGATTAATAAGCAATTTAAGGAATTTCTAAAGATAATATATCAGGCATTTGTAATAGACAGTAGGTAGTTATTCCATGTTAGCGATCCTGTAAAACATACCCTGTGGTGGTAACTTCAGACCCTGGGGATGGCCACATAGCAGTTAAACAGAAAAACTCTAAGACTAACTAACTTCCTGACTTCATCCCCAGTGTTCTTGCACTGGAGTTGTAGAGAAACTGGAAACAGTCCATAGGACAGGGTTTGCTAAGTATAGGAGACTTTGCCCTTGATATTTCCTGTTTGGAATATTTTTCCCCAGATCTTCCTCAGGTTTCCCACATGTAGTAGGCAGAATCATGCTCCCTTCCCCAAATATGTCCACATCCTAATTCCCAGAACCTGTGAATATGTTAGGTTTCATGGCAAGAGGTATTAAGGTTGCAGATGGAATTAAGGTAGTTAATCAGGTAATCTGGAGATGGGAAGATTAGCCTGGATTATCCAAGTTGGCCCAATATAATCACAGTAATCCTTATAAGTGGAAGGGGGAGGTACAAGAGAATCAGAGAGATAACAATGTGAAAAGGAGGGAGGCCTGACATTAATGGCTTTGAGGATGAAAGAATTGGAAATGCAAGCCTAGGAATGTTGGTGGGCAGCCACTAGAAACTGGAAAAGGCGAGGAAACTGATTCTCCCCTGTGGTCTCTTGAAGGAATGAAACCCTACCAACACTTCTTTTTTAGCCCAGGGAGACCCATTTTGGACTTCTGAACTCAAGAATTGTAAGATAAATTTGTATTGTTTTGAGCCACAAAATTTGTGCCAATTTGTTACAGCAGCAGTAGGGAATCATTAATAATACAGCTCTTTATCATTTGATCTCAGCTCAAATGTCATCTTCTTAATGAGATTTTCCTTGACATCCTTCACCTGCTAAAGTATCTCCCCATCCCCCAGGCATTCTAACACACTTTTATTTTCATTTGTTTATAATTATCTAAAACTATTTGTGTGATTATTGCTCTTCCCTGTCACAAGAAAGTAAGCACTATGAGGGTTGGGACTTTGTTGCTTCTATGTATCTCCATTGCCTAGGACACAGACTCATGGTTGTGTGAATGAGGTTTAAACTAATGAGAACCATAAAACTCATGTCACTGCTAAATCACAATTAGAGGGCAGTTGTTAGAAGAGTCTGAAACTTGGTAGGTCCTGTGTTGCAAGGAATTGTCCAATAGAAAACAAGAATAAAAGCAGAATTAAATGAAATAAAATTAAATTACAGCAAAAATAATATGAAATCAGTTGCTTAATACTAGGAAGTGGAGGAAGAAAGCTTGAATAGTCAGTACTATTCCTGAGCAACTGCAGACAAGAGTCCTCTGTGATTACCAATAAGTAACCAGTTTGGAAAGACCAGAGAGGGGTCAAAAGGTAGGTTAAACTGAGTTAATCACATAAATAAATTGCTCAATCATCACAATTCTTAAAAGATCACATACAAAAATGCCTCAACAGGAGGAAAAAATGATTAGTAAAACAGGATAAAGTGGTAAGATTACTTTCTTTTTGTATTAATGAGCCAATTTTCTAATGGACATTCTGATCAGGTTTAGCTGAAGACTGCAGTGCTGATAATCCCTCCAGTTTCCCGGCTCCGAAATGAACGGACCAGGTACTTAAAACGAAACTTTGAGAAAGGGCTGGCCTCAGGCAGGCTGGATTCGCCTACCACAGTGAATGAGGCTGTCTTGACACATCTTCAACGCCCTGGTGTCAACATCCTGGAAAAGGGCGTCCAGGCTCCCTGCCCTGTCAGGTTGGTGCTCACGCCATATCCAAAGGGTGACAGCCTTCTCCGCAGAGCGGACTCTGAGCTGGGCAAAGCCAGGAGGGAGCCTTCCCCAGGTACCCAAGCGCCTCATTCAGCCAGCCAATGGCCATGGAGCGGGGGCGGGACCTCGGGGCATCGGGCCAATGGGAGTGTGGCAGGGCTGCAAGGAGCGCGTCGGTCGCAAGGCTGTGGTGGGTTCGCAGCCCCAGCCCGGCCCGATGTGGGAACCTGCGGGAGCCGAGGCGTGCGCGGCGGCGCTCGGTGGCGCGCTCTTCCTGCTGCTCTTCGCGCTGGGGGTCCGCCAGCAGCTGAAGCAGAGGCGGCCGATGGGCTTTCCCCCGGGGCCGCCGGGGCTGCCATTTATCGGCAACATCTACTCTCTGGCCGCCTCAGCCGAGCTTCCCCATGTCTACATGAGAAAGCAGAGCCAGGTGTACGGCGAGGTACAGCCCCCGACGGGCCGCGAGTAGGGAGGGTCGCCGTCCTGTCCTTGGGGCTGGCCTGGGCCTTCCTCCCGGTGGGACTTACGTCCGCTCCTGGGCCTGAGTAGCCAGGACCTCTCTCGTGCTGCCCTCTGAGGGAAACTAGCTTCCCGGGTCGGGAGGGAAAAGTCCATGACGCAGTGTCCCCTGCAGGGGGAGCCCCGCCACCGGGCCGACGCCCTGAGGCGGTCGGGCCCCGACTTCCCAGCCACCGAAGGGAGGGCGCGCCGCGAGCTCACGCTCCCGCGCCTGCGCCATGTGGCCCGCGGGCTGCGTCACCGCGTTAGCCCGGGACGGACGCCAGCTCTGGGTCCCACCTCCTCAGCTCTCTGGGGCTCCATGCGGCACTCTGAATTCTAGGACCGAGTTAATAGTCAATAGGAGGTTCTTCGATGTTTGCAAGTGACGAACGACTGGTCTAGGCGTTTGCGGTGAGGATTAAGAGAGAACGCAGGTGAACGCCCCTAGCCGAGACGCGGGCGCTGGTAATTGATTGTGAAAGCGTGAGTGAACTAATGACTAAAACCCGGCGCGCGAGTGCGGGAGTCCTACGGCACAGAATGAGCAGTATCGTTCTGACTGGCCAGGAACATCCTCATAGCAAATACTCATAATGCGCCTACTGTGTGCCAGTATCACTGCCAACTTGTTGACTGATTTAAAACTCTTAAACACCCAGTGAGGTAGGTACTTACGGTTTTCCCCATTTTACGGAGGAGAAAACGGGACAGAAATGCTCAATGGCTGGCAGAAATCCACACAGCTATTCACTGGCAGAGGAGAAAGGCAAGAACACACGCCTGTGTTTGGAAGGGTGTCCTGACCTCAGGAGGCAGAAGTTTCCAGAGCCCTGACCAGAGCTCACCTGTTTTGTTTGAGTTACATTCATTTATTTGCAACAACCAGCCAGGGTCTTGCCTGATGCTGGGGATGAAGACGCGAAGAAGGCAGATACAGCCCTATTTTAAGGAGTTAACAGTCTAGTGGGAGAGAGAAAACTAATCTAATTATCAGCCATAAACTGTGGTAAGTGCTTTGAAGGAAAATGCAGGGCTGTTTGGCAATTTTGGTGTTTCAGGTTGATGCTTAAATCCTTACTTAAACCAGTTTTTACAAGAATTATT